TCTCTGTTGCTAAGGGCATCGGCCATGACTTCGCTTTTCGAAGTGATAGCACTTTTCCAAGTCATAATCAATCTCATTCCAACGAGGTTATCACAAGCGCAAGACCAACTTGGTGAAGATGTCCTATATATTCTTGTGATCCTCCTAGATGTCACTTTTACTTTCAAGAAGATGGTACTTCCATGCTTCACAATGGATAACTCCAGATAACATGTTAGGTAGTTCAACTCAAGCTCCCTTAGTTGACTTAATGAGCAAGCCACTACTTTTGTTCTCGTATAAGGACACATCCCACACCTTCACAAGATGCATTATTGCAGATACAAAGCTCTTGTCCTGATCTGACAAAGCTAATACTTAGGTTTTACTTCGACCTCTTGGACTCCTTCAAACACTTGGCTAAGGTCTCTTGATCTAAACTAACTTAATAGCTTCTCCGGTAGCTTTATCAATATCTTGCTGGTCTTGAATAAACTTCCCTCTAACCAAACCTCGTTATTTAATACTCTGAGTTCTCTCTTACATCCTTGAGTACCGCCACGCTTCCGCTGTGCAAACTAGAACGTAGGACACTTCATCTTGCAAATTCTTCAACTTGGCTACCCCCCTTAAGAAAACATAAACTAGGGGACACCAAAGTATAGCTTGCATCTTCTTCAGATGAGCTTACTAGTATCAAGATGTTCTGTCATCCCAATGATACTCTTGTACATGGGCAAGGACAAGAAATCTGAATTTCCTTCCGAGCAGAAAAACAGCAGTGTGGTAAGATAGCTGTAACTCTCATTCTGTTAATCCAATAAAGTTATAGCTTATATCGTTGGAAAGCTTATAAAATTCTCCACAACCTCCTTATAGAACCTTTTGCCGAATTCTGCAGTTCACTTGGTCAAAAACAGTGCACAAGAGAAACTGTTCAGAGATGCATCGTCTTGTGATTTTTGTATCTCCATAACCAAAATAGATATTAGGCTAATTCTTGTGCTCAGAGAAAGATATGGAAGTGTACTGTTGTCCAGAATTTTTTTCCATAATTCTAGGTCATCCAAGAATAGAGATATAAACCGATAAAGACAGGTTGCTCCCAAAGGACAGAATAGAAAAAACAGGAGATAAGCGAAACACCTCTATTTATTGCATTAATCCTTATGCCTTAGGCTTATAAACTAAATGAAATTGTGGGAACACCAAACAAGATCATTGGAGTCATTACAAAGATGCAAACAATCATAAGCATAATGACAATTCAACAAGACAGTAAAGATGCACAACTCAATCATCGACTCAACTTGCGATACTATCATTTTTATTACATAAGGGGCACAACTCCTATACTTAACTAAGGATCTTGGATAGTCTAGCATAACTTCTTCATTCACCACTCTCACCAAATGCTTCTTTCAGGTTGGTTATCACTAACACTTTCTGGTAACAGTCTAGTAGTGATCTGACTCTGGCTACTTCCTTGGTGTAATTGTTGATTCTTCTATGGGTAAGATTTAACATAATGTCCTTCCTGTTGGCAATGATGACACCTTCTCCTAGCTAGATCTTTTGTGATGTCATACTCAATGGAATTGTTGCTTGGTGTTTTGTTAGCTTTCTAACTCTGAAGATTCATCTTGGTTTGACTGATCTGTTTTCTAGCTTGCTTGGTCTGTTGAGGCTAAAACTCCTTGTAGGTGATAGTCCACCCATCTATGCATACCTCATGTGAAGTAGTTTTAGCTTGAGAAGCTTCTAACTCTTTATAGTTTAGATTCATCTGACTAGGGATCAGAGCTAGATGTGACAAATCCAAATGGTGATTGCTTCCCAATACTTGCTCTATTGAGACCTTTCTCTTCTTATCCACATTAGCTTCACAACTCAGGTTCACCTTAACCTTTCCTTGATTTGGCTTGTTTCGAAGACAGGGAAAACCATAGTGCATGCAACATTAACATTGATATTATCTTCCAAGAGTCTTGCTACCAGCACCTTCATTGGACTTCATTTTCTTCCAAGCTTCTGCCACTTGTCTCTTCACGGGTCCCTTTGGTATTTTGGTTTGATCTTGCGACAAGCACTGCTAAGAACTTCTAGGCTGATTCATTCCTTCTAGGATTTGCTTTTGCATAGAGATTAGCTTTTCCCTATCAAATGCAATCAAGGGTGGCATAGCTTGGTCCTCCTGTTCTTTGGTGTTGGCAGTTATCTCATTACGTTCCATCTAATAGACCAAGAGAGAAGATTCAGAATAGAGACAAGGTTTTCATAACAGAATAGAGGCGGAAGTGAGCATAACTTTTTGCAAAATAACAAGGTTAGAGAGAAAGCAAGAACTAAGCAAAGATGGAAGCATGCTAAAACATACAGTTCTATCTAGGCTTGCGTCCTACAATCAGCATTGCTCTGATACCACTTTGTAGCACCCGGTTTTAAAGACAAAACCAGATACACACTATATGTGAGCCCAGAAAGTCAAATCTCACATATAGCCATAAATAAGGGTAATATCAAGAGACATACTTATTACATGACGTATTAGTAAAAGGAATATAACCTCATAGTATAGACAGCGGAAAGTCGACTCTGATCTTCAGGCGAAGACTCCAAATCCACAGGGACGACTGACTGGTTGACCAAAAGCCTAACTCCTCCAGACTATCAATCTGGTACCCATCTGGGATTTTTATCCAAGTATAGAAAAGTAAAGCAAGCATAAGTACATGTCGTACTTAACAATTATATCATGGGGTTCATGAGGCTCAAAAGGCTGACACTGGTTTAACTGCGATTAGCCTTTGTTTTGCACAATTTTAGCAATTGGTTGGCAACAAGTTTATCCATAAGCCCATAAACACATGATCAGGTAAACATGAATAATGTATAGCATAAACAATTAATCATTAGTACCATTATCCATTAGTGATCATCTCTATTCCATAAGGGTCCAAGGCCGCTCGTGACCATGAGCATAGCTGTTATAACAGTTTTACATTCTGCAGAGGTTGTACACTTTCACTGTGAGTCGTGATTTACCCTTTTGCCCGAGGTAGCTAATCTCTTGACCCACTTCCAAGGAAGGTCGACAGGGTTCACTATGAAGCCTTTCAAAGGTTCATCTAACAAGTTAGGACCGCTAGGCGTATGTGGCCCTTCTCTAGGAGTGGCACGCGTGGGCACGTAGCACGGTACACACATCCCAGCAAGAAAGGAAACATACCCTCTGTCGCCATAAAGGTAACCACTAACAAGCTAGAAAAGGTCCTCATATTGAGCTAAAGCCAGAGCCATATAGCCCTCACAGCTGTACTGTAAGTCCCGGATGATCGCTTACAGATAAGTCCTTAGGGAGAGGAATCTAAAGCATTTAGAAAGTAGCTAAACACTCTAGCCCCCTGTTTCCATGTTACTAAAAAGTCATGTTTTAATGTTTATTGCATATACCATTAGTCAAGTTACAATATCATGGTTTTGATTAAGCACTAGCAAAAACTACCCCATGCAATAACCCAAAGGTATCAAGGAATCCAGGATATCAATTAGCTAGGAAATTTACTAGAGTTGCCAAGGTAGACACATGCATCATGAATAAAATGTTTAATGGTGAATAGGTATCAAGGATGGTCCCATGCTATACTTGCCTTACACACCGATCCTTCGGTAAGCTTTAATCTTCAACGTCCTTCTTCTTCTTCTGGATCACCACGTGTATCTCACTAACTGGACGTATTCGTAGAACACCACACAAACATCCATACACATACATGCATAGCATACAATTGCATTTATATCAGAACAGTACACCAATCATAGAAAAATAAGTAAAAGAGTTTGAAATATGATTCTACGCATCAATGGTGGTATAGTTCCCAATTTTACCACCAAACATTTAGCAATAATGTTCAAGTTGCAAGGTTAGTGCCATAGTGCTACTATGAGATTTAAAATGTTTATGATAAATGATGGCATCCACAAACATCCTCTTAAATAGTTTGGAAATGAGGAGTGAGAGGTGGTTGTGATCCTCATAGGAACAGGTGGCACTAAGCACAACGAACTCTAGAGACTCCGACAGTGAGCATGAAATGCGAGGGGTCCCAAAAGTGAAACTTTCATTCTCATTTATGGAATCTCTCCTTTTGGAGTCCAGAGTCAGTGTTTGAAGACTATCCATGACACAGGAGTTGTCATTGTGTAGGATTATAGTTGACTCTCGAACACTATCGAGAACAATATTTTGATGGCCAGAGGGACATGGTTTCGGTTTGAGTGAGGTTGGCGACTAACGTTCGGTTTCACTAGAAAGCCTAAGTGAAACGAACGGGAAAATGAGCTTCGCCTCCTCGAACGGGTCATGGTTGGGACTATGCTTCGCCATGGGACTTTCGGGACAAGGGATAGGAGTGGCGGAAGCAGTTGTTCCCAACTTTTCAAGGCCCCCATGGGAAGGTTTTTCTTGGAAAAGATTTTCTAGAGGGTAGCCTATGAGCAAAGTTCAAAAAGGCGACGCCTCATCCCCACCTAGGTGCGCCTAATCGCTGGGCGACGGGTCTCGCCTGGCCTTTGGGGGTAGGTAGACTCCAAGGCAGGCGCAATGCCTAGGCTTCGTAAGGCAGTGCCTCGGCATGATTGGGCGGCGTGGAGGAGGGCTGGGCGGCGCCTAGGCAGATGGCACAGGCGAGCCACGCGGAACTTTTGCCGCCGCGGAAGCGCGCACGAAGCTGGCATCGAGCCCATGCGCGGGCGTAGGAAAAGGAAGTGAGGAGCGCGCGCAGATGGAATGGGGCGGCAAAGTATAAGAGGGAAAGAAGCCCTCACGCCCACAGCTTCTCTCCACCGGTCGCGCCCCTCATCGTCGAGCTACTCCTCCCGCTGGTCACGCCCTGTCGCCTCACACCGGTCGTGCTCATCCCCGCCGGTCTGCTGCTCGAGCTCGTGTCGGCGGCTTCCCGTCCCCATCGGTACTGCTCTAGCCTTCCGCTTCCCTCCCCGTCGGGTGGCTAGTCGCTTGCATGACTGCACTAACCAGCCGCTGCCCTCCCCTGCTCGGCTGTAGGTAGCCAGGTACCCTACCTTCCCCTGCTCAGCTATTGATGTCTACTCTACTCACTGCATCCTCTGTCCTCTGAATGAATCTGAATGTTTCATTTATGCCTGATCTGAAGATAGAGAGGCTGATCTGTCCTCTGAATCTGAATGTATGCCTACTCAGATTCTCTGAATGTTAGATTGTTAGCTAATATGTTTACTCTGAATGCCTGTTGTCATTTGGTAATATTGTTATCACTTGTTAATTATTATTTGCTTTGAATGCCTAATTTGAATGCTTGAATGCTTGGATGTTACTCTGAATGCCTGAATGTGGGATGTGTGACTAATTGTTTTAGCTGATTTGCTACATGTATGTATTGCCTGAATGTTCACTGAACTCTGAATGTATTGCCACTGAAATATGAATTTATGTATAGGATGTCGACAATAGAGGTTGCACCTAAAACTGAGTGAATCTCCTGAGAAGGAATTCGGATGATGTGGGATGGGAATATAGGGTTCTTGTTGATGCTAACAACAAGGACAAGGTGAAGTGCAACCTCTGTGACAAGGTGGTGCAAGGAGGGATTTATCGATTGAAGCAACATGTGGCCCATGAAGGACAGAATGCAACAAAATGCAAGGCCAGAACATCGGAGGCTCTGGAGGCTAAAGAGAAGTGCAAGAAAGCACTAAATGATGCAAAAAGGAAGAGGGAGGAGAAGATTGTTCGTGAGCTAAAACTTAGAGATGAAGTGAATGTTTCTCGGGTTGGAGGTAGAGAGTTAGAGGAAGTCACTTGTATTGGAAGTTGAGAGCCTCACAAATTATGACCCATTGACAAATGGACACGTGCTATTGATCCTAAAGCAACCAAATCTGAATCTTTCACTCAACAGAAGCTAAACAACGAGCTTTGGAAAGAAAGAACACATGAGGTGCATAAATATATTGCAAGATGGGTCTATACACATGGTAAGTTCCTATTCTGTATTTATATTTTAGAATTCATTAGATGCTATTATGGCTATACTGAACACTAATTAACCTTCTTGTTTTGTAACATTGGAAGCAATACCATTCAATGCATGTGACAATGATGAGTTCAAGCAAATTGTTGAAGCAATTGGACAATTTGGGGCTGGACTTGAACCTCCAACTCAGTATGATCTGCGAAAGACATTGCTGGAAGAAGAATATACAAGAACCAAGAGTTTGTTGCAAGAACGTGAAGCTGAGAAGCTGAAGAATGGGTGTTCTATTATGACTGATGCTTGGATAGATAGGAAGAGGAGAAGCATAATGAACTTGTGCACTAATTGTGCTAATGGAACTTGTTTTATCAGCACAAAAGAGATGTCAAATGTGTCATACACATGTGAAGTCGTCTTTGAACTAGTGGACAAAGCAATTGAAGACATTGATTCTCCATTGCATTTGACAGCTTATTTGATAGCTCAAAAGAGAGAGATCAAAGAGGCCTTTGGCAATAATGAGTCCCGGTTCAAGGAGGTAATTGTTGTTATTGACAAGAAGATGAAAGGAAGACTTGATTCTCCATTGCATTTGACAGCTTATTTGCTGAATCCACACTATAGTTATAGTAACCCATCAATCTTTGATGAGCCAATAATAACAGAAGGATTTATCAGTTGTGTGGAGACTTTTTATTATCACGATGAGGATAAGCAAGATCAGGCTACCAACATTGAACTAAAAAAGTTTTAGAATAGAGAAAGACCATTTAACAAGAAGCTTGCAAGGACTTTTGAAAACTTTGATTACAACCCAGGTAGAGGTACTTGTTATTACAATAAATTTGATTACAACATGGTTGTTTGCTGTTTTGCATCTAACAATAAATGGCTACTAACTAATAGAGGTGTTTTCATTTATTTCAGCATCATGGTGGTGGTTGTATGGAACTGAAACACTAGCTTTACAGAAGATGGCTACAAGGATCCTATCTTTGACATCAACCTCTTCTGGTTGTGAAACAAATTAGAGCGGGTTTGAAGGGGTTAGTACCTGTCTACCTAAAAATTGCAACAGCATTACAATTAAATTGCAGACCTAAAAATGCTCTTATTTTAAATTTATAGGTACACACTAAGAAGAGAAATAGGATTACTACAACCCGCCTGAATAAATTGGTCTATATTCAATTCAACTCCAAGTTGATTAATAAGAAAGAAAAGATCAAGTCAGAAGATCAGTGATGTTCTCTTGTCCAATGATACAACTGAAGCTCAAGGTTTTCTGCATGAGAATGGAGATGATTGTGCATTAGTTGTCTATAGAGATGAGGAAGATGAGATGGAAGGTACAGGGATACCTTGCTCTATTATTGGAGATGCAGTGGGAGCAGAAGAATAACTTGAGCTACGTAGAAGTGCAAGAGTGAGACAGCTTTATGAAAGAGAAGAATTTGACTCCGAAGAAGAACAGTTTGATGAAGATGAGGATGATTATGTGGAACCCTATTGAAGAAGAAAGATGATATGGTAGTGGGGCCTTTTTATCATGTCATGGTTTATCTTTTATGATGCATTCATGTATGTCTGAAACTTATGAACTGCTGCTGTGTGACTGTGTTTTTCTTCTTTTGTGAGAACTATGTGGTCTCTGAACAAGACCTTTATTTATGAATTGTGTTGTGCACTTGTACTGCTGTCCTATCCACTTGTTTGTGCTTTAAAATTTGTAATTACTAGCTGCTGATATGGTCTGTTCATGGATGGGAGATGGCTGAAATCATTTAGATAAGTGTCAACTTGCTATTTTCTATTTTTTGATGATCTGCTTGCTGTCTATTGAGTATTTACAAGCTGTTAATCCTTGTTGTAGGAACTAGGAACAAGCTGTCTATTGATTATTGAGCCTAAGCTAGTAAACCACTAAGGTATGTATACTGCCCTCTCTTTTATATACTATATTCAGCTACTCTATGCTTCTATTTAACTAATTTATTCAGCATTTTCTGCTATATATATATATAATATGTTGTGTGCTAAATTGGCAAGACGCCTTGAAACACCTAGGCTGGCCTAGGCTAGCCTAGGCGCTAGGCTATGGGTCAGTGCGTAGAAAGCGCCTAGCGCCTTCTTGAACTTTGCCTATGAGTAGATCAAATTCAAGGATGGCAAAGATGTGGAAATCTATGAAAACCTCAATTTTGTCAATTATGACTGGCACATCCCTTGCGATCCCACAACACTTGAAAAATAGTCCCAAAGGACTTTTGAAGAGTAAATTGGTCGGGACTAGCGACATGTTACCCAAAAGGTTTTTCACTAGGAATTTTGACATGATACTAGTCTCGACTGTGGGGTTATGTAGGGCCTCTATGTTCGTTCCCCTTAACGAACAAGGTATGATCTTGGAAGGTGAAAGAATCTGAATTGCTTCGAAAGAACGTTTCACTTCCATTAACCATTCCTTCGACGGTATTTTGGGGGAACTTCTTTTTGTGTGCTTTTCGTGCCATGATATTTTTGAGGTATTGCCATAATCCTTGAATTATATAGGGAACTCCGAAGGATGAAGCATTGTTTCCTTCGGTGTTCGTGGTTTAGGTGAGGACTCATAAGTCGAACCTAGGGATGGTATGGGATTGGATTCGACAGACGTGGACTCCTCAACACTCGACATGACTTTTGCCTAGAGGGTTCTAGTTTCCATGACGAAGGAAGCGTGTCTTTTTAGAAAGTTTTCAAGGAACTTCACTTGATCCATCATAGGTTTATGTGTAAAACGACCTCTGGCCGTCATGTCTAGGCATAGGTCAGCATCTATGTCAAGACCCGAACAAAAGAGATGTAAGATTACGCCATCGGGTAGTGACAAGTCTGGGTCGGCATGTATTAACATTGAAAACCTAGCCTAGGCTGCACCTATAGACTCCTTCTCATTCTACTCAAAGTCGAGGATTGCCCTTGATAGAGAGCCGATATGAGACATGGGAAAAAAATACAAGACAAAACTTGTCTTTAAGTTCATCCTAGTCTCCATTCGTACTTTCTATGGCATTTGTGTACCATTACTTCGCCCTTCCTGAGAGAGAGAAGGGAAACAATTTCCACCTTAAAGTTTCTTGTGTCATGCCCAAGATGCTCAGGCACGAACACATTTCCTCAAAGTCTCATAGGTGATGGCAGGGGTTTTCATTTTCGTGCCTTGAGAAGGGAAGTGCTCGAACCATGGATATTAAGCCAGGGTTGAGTTCATAGCCAGATGAACGATTAGGTTTTGGAGAAAGTGGTGGCTCACGGAACTCTCCCTTTGAAGCGAAAAGGTTATGAATAGGAGTTGAGTTCATGGTGGAAAAAGACAAAGGAAGATATTTTTTTATAAAAGTAAAGGATACAAATACGAGGACAAACTAGGTTTGAAGAAAATAGCAACCGTTCCCTAGCAACGGCGCCAGAAAGCTTGTTGGTATTTCTTAACGTTTACAGAAGTTAATCCGCAAGCGTATGGAATTACCGTTGTAGCTTTCACCTGGAAGTATTCTGGGTATCGTATTTTCACATGGAATGGAGGTATTTCTTCTAGCTAATTCATCCAAGGACAACACAAGGGGTAAAGTTGGAAAAGGTAGAGACAGATTCCTATGGCTTTTGGCTATATGAGAAGATAAACTCTACTTCTACTTGCTTACTTTGGGCACCGATGAACACTAGTCTACCAAGTGTTGCCGGCCTACGGCTCTATGTCGTGCCCGAACTGGGGGAGTGCTAGGGATGGACAGGGCTATGACCACCTACCGCCTACCCCACTACTGTGGGACACGAGGCCAACAAAGGTAGCCTCTAGCCTAGACACCACGTCTACGCTATCGACTACTACTCTAGTGTTAGCTAGGAACATCCATCTTTATCAGGAGTCCTCTACTAGACAATCCGCCATGGGGACAGACGACAAACCCGCTAACAAGTAAAAGCATAGCTTAACTACTCAAAGACATTGAATCATAAGAATCACGAACACTTACTAAATACCCGTGGAGGTACAAAACCGGTGTTCACCGAGGTACAAGTGGGGGAAGGTTACCGACAAGCCCGTCACTTCTTCCCTGAACTCTTCCCTCACATCTCTCCCTATTTCTCTTCTAGAACTAGCTAGGGCATAAGCCCATTGAGTAGTGTTGTTGTTGCTCTTGCTATGGTGCTCTTCCTCTCTTGTGTGTTAATGTTGAAATGTGAGAAGGGGGTCCTCTTATATAGCTTTGAGTACGTAGAATTTTTGGTAAGCACCCATGCAATCACCCTTGGGGGCAATTAATGCACCACCTCCCAAAGGGTGGGCCCGAGAGGCGACAAGGGGGGTCCGGCCGCACCCTGGTTGGTGCTGCCCCGCACCACCTCCGCCAGGTGGACTCTTGGGTGGACCTAGACCCTTGCCATGTCAGTGCTTTGCCTGGTTTTGCAGCGAGATGGTTTGCCTTGTGTTTTCTTGGCCCAAATATTCTTTGGCATGGATTTCACACTTATGCTCTGCAAAACATGTATATACCAAAACTCATGAAAAATATGAGTTAAAAGCCCTAATTCTAAGTTTTGGCATTCATATTGGTTTTATTTTGTTTAAATATTGGCGGTAGAAATGTGACTTAAGTACTGCCAACACCGCATTCAATGCACCATGCCCTTAAGGGAGTGAGCGGCGAAGCTCGGAGTGACCACACCTACGAAACCACACTTAGCACTTGAGCGCATCAACGCTTTCACGATCGCTTTGCAATCGCAAAAAATGCTCGGGGGCTATTGTCGGGATTACGATACCCTGGGTATCTCAAGGCATGGATAAGTTGGCAGACCGTAGACACTGGTTGGAACAGGCTCGATTGATCGTGGCCCAATTATCTCGTGAAGGCAAGGCCTGATGCTAATAGATAGGCCCATCATGACCTCCGTACTAGCCTTAGCCGCGCACCAAGGCAACCACATGCGACCTCCACCGCCATGACCTCTAAGAAAGGCAAGAAGGGATCGAGTCCCCCTAAAGCTAGCAGGCCCTGACATGAGATAGCACACCGCCCTGGCCTCACAAGGACCGAGGGACAGCGGTCACCTTGGTCCAGTCAGAACCCATCCCTGCCATGCCATAGGGAAAAGACAACACCGCCCACCGTGGTAATGGACGGTACGAAGGACCACCGCCCACATACGGGTCGACGAGACCCATGTGTGCTTCCATTCACCATGAGATGACGGCAGCCACGCAGAAGCGTACGACCCAAGATTGCGTTGCTTGCAAGCCAAGCTAGATAGGATCCCCTCAAGGGAGCCCAGGCCACCCGATCTCAACATGGACTCATTCATTCTTCAGTCCCCTACTTGATAGTTAGGCTGTCGGAGCTTCCCTTTGGGAGTTCATCCATAGGCTCTAGCCTCCTACCTCATTCTCCATTCTTGCACCCCCCTATTGTAAGAATTTCAGAGCATTCATGTGAGGAACACGCACTCGATCATCTCTAAGACTAGACGTAGGGCTCTGGCCTGAACCAATATAAATCCTTGTGTCGACTGGATGCTACCATCATCTTCCTAGAGAAGCGCAATAAATCGTAAATACATACTAGTCGGTTTACAAAACATCAACACGTACACACACACAAAATATGCACTACTCCTACACTAGGAGTAGGCGCAAAAACATGCCTTCCATTTGGATCTAGCCAAAAATGTTCTACTCCTACACTGGGAGTGGACAAAAACATGTTTGAT